GTCATTATCACTGTTGCTAATCTGATCAGTAACATCCAAGGTGGTAAACTGCACTCAGAAATTGGGGAGTGGCACAGAAGATAAACTGGAGAGACTGGAAGGAGGTCTGTGGGCAGCCCTGTCCCAGGTGCTTCAGATGAGATGAGTCAGAGCCAGCCCCCTGTCCTGAAGGATCAGGGCAAACAGGTGCAGGAGTCGGAGTGTGATGGACTGAGAAGACAGGTCACAACACAGTGCTGCACATCACTGCCCACGTGCTCATCTGTTGCTAGAGTCTAAAGTGGCTAGAGCTACCTGCCCACTGCACATGCCCAGACAGAAAGCAGACACGCGACCTTCAGAAGGGAAGGAGAGTGTTTTGTGGACCATTTTGGGGTTTTTTGTATGTGTGGCAGTTTTAAGTTAATAATTTTTAAAATGAGTACTTTTTTCTTTTTCTTTTTTTTGAGACAGGGTCTTGCTCTGTTGCCTGGGCAACAGTCCTCATTGTCCACTGCAGCCTTGAACTTGTGGGCTCAAGTGGTATTCCTGCCTTAGCCTTCTGAGTAGCTGGGACTACAGGAGTAGTCACGCCTGCTAAATTTTTATTTATTTATTTATTTATTTATTTTTATTATTTTATTTGTTTGAGACAGAGTCTCATTCAGTTGGCTGGGGTTGAGTGCTATGGCATCACAGCTCACAGAAATCTTAGACTCTTGGGTTCAAGTGATCCTCTTGTCTCAGCCTCCTGAGTAGCTGGGATGATAGATATGTACCATTATACTTGGCTAATTTTTCTATTTTTAATAAAAAAAATCTTGCTTTTGCTCAGGCTGGTCTCAAACTCCTGAGCTCAAGTAATCTACTCACCTTGGCCTCCCAGAGTGCCAGGATTACAGGTGTGAGCCACCACATCCAGCCATGAACTTACATTTTAAATGCTTTATTATTTGCAGTTTATAGCAGCTGATCTTAAATTCATACTGTAGTTTCATCAATTTTGAGAAAAAAATCAATATTTAAGAACAATGAATAAAATAGCTATGTCTATGAACTTAATGTCTGAACGTGGGGGTAGAGGTTGGACGGGTGAATGGGGAGTAGAGATGCAGGAGAGGAAAGAAGGCTTTATTTTCAGAATAGTTGCTGGGGAAAAAAAGGAGAAGTCTCTTCTTCAGCTTACTGAATATAACCTATTGCAATGTGAAAACTTGTGCAGTGAGTTTCGTTTGAAAATAAATTGAGTGTGGGCAGTGCCTGTGGCTCAGGGGTAGGGTGCTGGCCTCATTTATCGAGGGTGGCAGGTTCAAATCCAGCCCCGGCCAAACTGCAACAAAAATATAGCTGGGCGTTGTGGCGGGCGCCTGTAGTCCCAGCTACTTGGGAGGCTGCGACAATAGAATCGCTTAAGCCCAGGAGTTGGAGGTTGCTGTGAGCTGTGAAGCCACAGCGCTCTACCGAGGGTGATTAAGTGAGACTCTGTCTCTAAAAAAAACCGAAAAAAACAAAAAGAGGATCATAATTCTTTGTAAGCAGCATTTTAATACCAAAGGGGAACAGAACCTAAAAGTTAATTTTTTAAACATCTATGTTTTGTTTTCAAATTAATCATTTTTGTATGTAAGAAATATTTTCATGTGTAAGAAGTTAGATCTATATATTTTTTTTATATATATATGTACACATACAAATGTGGAATTATGCAAAGAAAGAAAAAGATTTCTCTTCAAAGATACAGACTATAGTTAAATACTACAGAAGCTCTTTTAGAGGGTAAGAATCAAACAGAGAACCCTTGCCTATAAAATACTGTTTCAACTATCTGATTTAAAAAGAAAATCTGAGTATACATTTAAATTATAACCCATAACTTATCAGAGTCAGCTCAAAATATAGTAGTGTTCTCTTGTGGTTTTAGGTCTGGATCTTGCTATATAAATTAGATATAAAATGATGTGATATAAAATGCTTTTAACTGGAAAATATCTCCTTAAATTGAAAATTAAGGTCCTTTTTCCCCAAGCTGAACAGAAACCCATCTTGTCTGGTTCTGTAGTAGTCCCATCTACTTATACAAACAAAAGCTTGCTGGAAGATCAAGTTTTATATGCATTTTATTTTATCATTAAAGAATAAAACGCTTCCATTTTAACCTATAATTTAATTTTATAAAGAGTGTACTATGTGCCTCTGTGCTCCTTCTAAGAGAATTGATCAACTTCAGTCAATAAAAAATATTTTTAATAATTAAAAAAAGAAAATAAATTGAATTTGATCTGATTCCTAGTAACTTGCAGTGTGAAAGTAGGCCTAGACTCAGCTCTATCCCTCCCATCTACTCATCCATCCAGTTATGATGGACACATCATAGCCCCTAATAATGATTATGGAGCGTTTACTGTGTGCCATGTAGTCTTAGAAGTGCTTTACACACATTATCTCACATAATCTTCCCAGCAGTGCTGTGGGGTAAGTGGTATTATTATCCCTTCCTTAAAATGGAATCTGAGGGTTTCTCAATGAATTAAGCATAGAATTCCATATGCCCCAAAGAATAGAAAATAGATGTTCAAACAAAAACTTGTATGGGGATATTTACAGAAACTCATTCACAATAGACATAAGGGAGAAACAACCCAAATGTCCATCGTACCTATGCCACTCAATATTATTGGAATATATATGCAAGCCAATATTATTCAGCTATAATAAGGAAAGAGATTCTCACCCTTGTCACAACATGGACAAAACTTGAATGAAAGAAGCCAGGCACAAAAGGCCACACATTGTATGGAACATACATACATATTATATCACTCCATTTATGTGAATATCCAGAACAGGTAAATCCATAGAGACAGAAAGGAGATGGGCGGTTCTCCAGGGGCTGGGGTGAGCTGCGTGGCAGGGAGGGGATGGAGATAGCTGCTTAATGGGTTTGGGGTTTTGGTCTGTGGTGAAGAAAACAGTTTTGGAACTAGATAGTGGTGATGGTTGCACAATATTGTAAATGTACTCAATGCTACTGAATGGTACAGTTTAAATGGTTAAAATGGTAGATTTCACATTAATGTTCACCACAACTTAGGGAATATGTAATTTGAGGCTTGGAGAATTTAAGTAACTTACCAAGGCTACCTTACAGCTGATATGAGGTAGAGCTATTTTTTCTTTTTTCAGACAAAGTCTCACTCTGTCCCCCTGGGTAGAGTACCCTGGTAACCTCAAACTCTTGGGTTTGAGAAATGCTCTTCCCTCAGCCTCCCAATTAGCTGGGAGTAAAGAGGAGTACTATTATGCTTGCCTAGTTTTTCTATTTTCAGTAGAGACAGGATCTTGCCCTTACTCAGGCTGGTCTCCAACTCCTGAGCTCAGGCAATCCACCTACCTTGGCCTCCCAGAGTGCTAGGATTACAGGTGTGAGCCACCACCCCTGGCCTAGAGCTGTGTTTTATCCAAGTCATCTGGCTCCACAGTTCATGCTTCTTAAAATAACTACAGTGAGAACTTTATTTTTGACCATTTAGGAGCTTTTTTTTTTTTGAGACAGGGTCTCACTTTGTTGCCCCTGGTAGAATGCTGTGGTATCACGGCTCACAGCAACCTCAAACAGGTGCCCGCCACAATACCAGGCTATTTTTTCTATTTTAGCAGAGACAGGGGTCTCACTTTTGCTCAAGCTGGTCTTGAACTCGTGAGCTCAAGCAATCCACCTGTCTCGGCCTTCCAGAGTGTTAGGATTACAGGTGTGAGCCACAGCGCCCTGCTTCAGTTACCTTCTATTAACACACAGGAAAGGCCTGGGAAACCAACAGTTGTGCCAGATGGGCCAGGAAATACCATGGCCTGGAGATCATAGGGTCACCTGTCTACTGGCATTCATGTCCCTTTCAGGTGGAGGGAGGACCCAGGACAATTGCTGCTGCTCGTGATCTGGAGATGGAGGGTATGAATCTGAATATGGGGAGAGAGAGGGAAGAAGAAGAGGAAACGAGAGAGGACTGGAGAAGTAAAGATTCTGCCAAGAATAAGAAGGTCCACAGGATTGTCTCCAAATGGATGCTGCCCGAGGAGTCCCGCATAACATACTTGGAGAGAGCTAACTGCTGCCCCCCACCCGTGTTCATCATCTCCATCAGCCTGGCTGAAGTGAGTACAGTTAGTGGTGGGCACTGGTGAGTGTGGTACTGGGGGGTTGCAAATAAACTAGGGGTTAGATCTAGGTAGAGAAGAGACTAGGAACACGAAAGAAGCGAGCGCAGTGGGGACAGGGCAGGCCATATACCGACGTCTACCTCAGCCTTCTCCAGAGCCACCTCCACAGGCTGTTCTTGTGCCCCTGGTCACTCTCAACCAAGGGTTGAGTTTCATTTATCAGACAAACCTCCTGCCCAACAGTGGCTGTGGTTTTAGTGGCTTCCTTTCATTTTAGCTGGTGGGATCTTTTAAAAGCCAAATAATCTTGGGGTGACAAATGGGCTTTATCTCAGGAACCAACTTAGGCTGGTTGGGAAGGTCTGCCTAGGGCCGTATGTTAGCAGAGTTAAAGGCGGCCTCTGAATGTCAGTGTGAAAGAAAGGGGATCCTTGCGTGCTTTGGGCAGCCCGTGGTGTGTTTTCAGACTCTGATCCAGTCAGCCTTCCAGAAGGGAACGCAGGGCTCTGAGAGGGAAGGTGACTTGCCCAAGGTCACATCTTAGTGACTGGGCCAGGACGGAGTTCCTCCTAAGCTTATGACATTCAGACTTTTTTTCCATATTGGGTGTCTCACGAGGGGACTGGCAGAGCATGGCTGCCTGTGTGGTGTGACGCTGGGGCATGGGGAAGTCCCTAATTAATCTTCTTAATTTCCATTCATCCCTCGGCCTCCTTATCAGGAATTGTATTAGTTGGGTTTCTCCAGAGAAAGAGCATCGATAGGGCCTGTGTGAGGGATTGGGGGAGAAATAGAGATATTAAGGTTTATTTTATATTAAGATATTGAGGAATTGGTTCAAACAATTATGGAGGCTTGGCAAGTCCAAAACCTGTAGGGCAGCAGGCTGGAGGCCCAGGGAAGAGTTGCAGTTTGAGTCCGAAGGCATTCTGCTGGCAGAATTCCCTTTTCCTAATGGAGGACGGTCTTTTTTCGCGTAAGGCCTTCAACTGATTAGATGAGGCTCACCTACATTATGGAGAGAAATCTGGTTTACTTACGTCTACTGATTTAAATACCAATCTCATCTAAAAATACCCTCATAGAAACATCTAGAATAATGTTGAACAAATTCCTGGGTACCATAGTTGCCACATGAAATTAACCTGTCACAGGACCAAGCCTCTTAGGGCTCAGATAAGAGGTATAAGCATACTAGGAGATGCTTTTGTCAAGGCCTTTTTGATAGAAAAAAACATAATTTTTTTTTGGTTGTTGTTTGTTTGTTTGTTTTGAGACAGTCTCACTGTGTCACCTTCAGTAGAGTAACATGGCATCACAGCCCACAGCAACCTCCAACTCTTAGGCTTAAGTGATTCTCTGCCTCAGCCTCTTAAGTAGGCGGAACTATAGGCGCCCACCACAATGCCCGGCTATTTTTTGTTTGTTTGTAGTTGTCACTGTTGTTTAGCAGGCCTGGGCCAGCTTCAAACCCGCCAGCCTTCGTGTACGTGGCCGGCACCTTAAATACTGAGCTACAGGCACTGAGCCTGTTTTTGTTTTTGAGACAGAGTCTCACTCTATTGCCTTGAGTAGAGTGCTGTGGCATCATTATCACTCACGGCATCCTCAAACTCCTGGACTCAAGTGGTCCTCTTGCCTCAGCCTCCTGAGTAGCTGGGACTACAGATGCTCACAATGATGCCCAGTTAGTTTTTCTATTTTCAATAGAGACAAGGTCTTGCTCTTGCTCAGGCTGGTCTTGAACTCCTGAACTCAAACAATCCACCCGCCTTGGCCTCCTAGAATGTTAGGATTGCAGGAGTGAGCAACCATGCCCAGCCAGAAACGTAGTTCTAAATTTTCTCAAGGGATTTTATCGTAAGATCATCTGCAAACTGGAAAGTCATCAGGATCTAGATTATTCCTGCTTCTCTCTTATACCCTTTTAGCCTGTGGGTGGACTGGTGTGCCCTTGTTCCAACCAACTCTATATGTGTGTGTGGACTGGAGAAGGATGGGATAAGGTCACATGGCACAAACCATGACTGCCCAGACAGTGAGGGCTATGGAGAGGACAGTTTTCCAAAGAAGGGTTGTGGAGCAGGTGCTGAGATATCTGCCTCTCACAGAAAGACTGATTTACTTATTATATTTTTCTTAAATGAACTTTTTATTTGGGAATAATTTTAGCATTATAGAAAAGTTGCAGAGATAGCACAGAGAATTCTTGTATATCCTTCCTTCGTCCAATTTCCCCTATTGTTAGTACTGAACATTCCCATAGTTAGTTGTCAAAAACGGGAAACCCGTATTGGCATATTACTACTAATTAAACTCCAGACTTTATTTGGAGTTTACCAGTTTCTCCATTAATGTCTTTTCTCAGTTTCTTTTTTCTTTCCTTTCCTTTCCTTGAGACAGAGTCTTAGTTTGTTGCCCTTGGTAGAGTGCTGTGGTGTCATAGCTCACAGCAACCTCTAACTCTTGATTCTCTTGCCTTGGTCTCCCAAGTAGCTGGGACTACAGGGGCTGGCTACAATGCCTGGCTTTTTTTTTTTTTTTAGACATGAGGTCTCAGTCTGGTTCAGGTTGGTCTTGAACCTATGAGCTCAGGCAGTCCACCTGCCTCGGCCTCCCAGAGTACTAGGATTACAGGCATGAGCCACCTCTGCAGCCCTTTTTCAGTTTCTCTGGTACCCTCCAATCCAGGGTATTACACTGCACTTGGCCTTAGCTGTTGTGTCTCCTGGGCTCCTGTGATCTGTGACAGTTTCTCAGTTTTTCTTTTTCATGACTTTGATAGTCTTGAGGAAGACTAACCAGACATCCCATAGACTGTCCCCTGGTCTGGGATTTGTCTGATTTTTTTTTTTTTCATGACTAGCCCAGAGTCATGGGTTTGGGGGAAGAATCCCACAGGGGTGAAGGGCCCTTCCCGTCACATCACATCAGGGAGGAGAGGACATGGCATGACATCGCTGGGACATTGCTCTTCATCGCTTGGTTGAGGCAGTACTTGCAGGTCTCTTTCATTGTCAAGTTACTACTTTTTCCTTTCCTTACTCTACTCTTTGGAAGCCAGTGTTGACTTACTTTCATATTAAGTCAGAAATGAAAGATCAAATGGTGGGATGGGCAGATGAGGGCAGTGGGTATTTAACAGGGGGAGGGTGATAAGGAACATCATGCCAGGGAGGGGAGTGTCTAAGACCAGGGGAAGGGGAGTTCAGGGAGAATCTTCTCTACAATGTGGCTTAGTGCTGCTCCTAACCATCGGGGGAAGTGGGAAGGGACCATAGTGGGGGAAGAGACTACAGCAGGGAAGGTGGAGAATTTAATTCCTGTCATCTTCTGAGCCCGTGCTATGGTGTGAGCCACTTGAGAGTGTAACCATTTGGAACAAAGCCACTGCCCATGGGCTAGAGTGGGGCCACTCTCTGGAGAAGGTATTGTTAACATTCATGTCCACTCCTCCCTGCCAGCTGGCAGTGTTTATCTATTATGCTGTGTGGAAGCCTCAGAAGCAGTGGATCACCTTGGACAGTGGCATCCTGGACAGTCCCTTTATCTACTGTCCTGACAAGAGGGAGGAAGTCTGGAGGTTTATCTCGTACATGCTGGTACATGCCGGGTAAGGAATGACACTTGAGTCACCCATGTCAGAGGTGATTATAAGTCACTGTAACCTTTAACTTGTTTGGTGCTTTGTGATTGCTCAGGCTCTTTCATGTCCATCAATGTTTGAGCACCATGGCAACCTTATGAGGCTGGTATTACTCCTGCTGTGTTAGTGACACTTCCTCCTTCCTTAGCTTAGTCACAAAGCTAAGTTGCAGAGCTAGGACCTCAACCCACCAGTGCTAACTCTAAGGCCAGTGTACTTTCCCTTGCATTCTACACATAACTGCCTAATATTTGGTATTTATATAGATATATTAATGAGAAGAGACCCAGCCACCACCAAACCAAAAGTATGTTTCCCTAGTTATCTGATGTTGCTCAATGTTCCCTTTGGGTTATGAAACAGTAGAGCTGAATCAGCAGTCCCCTCCCCCCAGTCACACAGTTAAATTAATTTATGAACATATTAATGAGTAGGTAACACTTATCCATCTGGAATAATACTGGCAATAGAGATAGTTTTGCTCATAGTTTTGAAAATACTGATAGCCTTTCTTTTTCTTTCTCTCTCTCTTTCTTTCTTTTGACAGTCTCTATTGCTTGGACTAGAGACTAGAGTGTAGTGGCATCATCATAGCTCATGAAGTTGCAAACTTCAACTCCTGGCTCAAGTGAGCCTCCTGCCTCGACCTCCCAAGTAGCTGGGACTACAAGTGCAAGCTACCACACCTGATTAATTATTCTATTTTTTTGTACAGACAAGGTCTTGCTCTTGCTCAGGCTCATCTCAGATTCCTGACCTCAAATGATCGTCCCACTACCCAAACCCCCAAGAATCATCCTGTACAATCCTATGACATCACTGGGACCCTCCTCTTCAGCGCTTGGTTAAGGCAGTGTTTACCAGGTCTCTTTCATTGTCCTCTGGGGAGGCCAAGGATTACAAGCTTGAGCCACTTCCCCGCCTAAATGCTGATGGCCTTTCAGGACCTCACTGAGCATCTGTGACCCACAATGCCTACTGCAGGTAGTGAGCAGCTCACTGCTGGCCCCACCTCTCTGGTGAGCACTTGTGGTTTTAGCTGAGGCCGACATTGTCTGCATAATCTACTCAGTTGTAGACTTGAAAGGATGACTCTTTTGGCCATTGGCTAAATAGGCATTCCTGGTGGGACACACAGCTCAGAGACTTGATAAGTCAGGGACAAAATCGCCAGCTGCTCAGTTTCTATAGAGACTTCCACGCTTTGGTATTCCATTTAACAGGTATGCTCTGAGCAAACATGGCTCCTGCATACAAGGACTTTAAATTATCAGGAGGAATAGTCAGTAAAATACTAAGGTCCGGCAGTATAGTATTATAGCACACAGTAGTTACTTAACCTGTTTGTGCCTGAGCTTCCTCCTCTATAAAATGGAGTGGTAATACCCACCTCAAAAGCTTGTTGTGATTAAACGAGACTTTTATTTTCATAATACTTCACACATAATGCTTCCTGAAAAAGAATTTGCAATTGGTGTGTGACATGCTGTAGGTGGGGTTATAGAAGTTAGGAATGCTCTTGGATACAAGTATCAAAAAAAAAAAAAAAATCTAACAGGGGCTTAAATGAAGGTTATTTAAGAGGTTATTTTTTTCCCCTGTAGGAATCTGAGAGGTAGGGGGTTGGTTCATCTGATTCTGCAGAGATGCTTGTGGAGGTTAACCAAGCCAGGACTCTTGCTCCTGTGCTGGCATCTCTGCTGTTCCCTGGGCCTTTCTCTCATGGTTGCAAGTTGGCTGCTGTAACTCTGCATTCAAAGCAAAAAGAAGGGGAAGAGGTGGTCCTGGGTATTGCTAAATCCATCTCTTTTGTCAAGATAGAAGCTCTCTTATAAGTCTTCTGAAAGTGCTCTTATTTGCATCTGACTGGCCAGAACTTTGTGCCATGGCTATCCCTGGCTCAGAGGGGTCAGGAAAGACAACAGTAGTGCTTCCTGCCTCACTAGAGGAGGGAGATGAGGGATCAGGGAAACAGGTGCTGGACTAGAATAGTGACATAGACAGAGGGAAAGAGCAGCGTGCAGATGGAGTCATGGACGACTTAGATTCAAGTTGGACTTTGAAGGGTGGATACAATTTGGATGGGAACAATTAGTATTTCTATTTGGAGTATATGACAGGATCTCATCTTCGTGGCACTTCTAGTCTTGCCGTTGACAGCAGAAAGGATTGTATAGGATGATTCTTGGGGGTTTTGGTCATATGGTCACCTAGTCCTCAAGGTGTTTTCAGAGGTCAGGATGGCTTTCTTTGACCTTCTTATTTAAATTCAGGAGAAGGTATTTTTAATTTTCTTTATGTGTGAGGTCTCCAAAACACTAGTATCACTGTCCTTACTAGACTACTCTGCACTGAATTACATATTACTTCTCATATGTCTTTGAAGCTGCCTTGGACAGTGATAGTCATGGCTGGGTATATATACTGCCTTAAAGGTAAGTAAGTAATCTGTTCCGCAGGGTATGCCCAGAGGGCCTCTTTGATGATCTGCTGGGTATTTGTTAAGCCAAAACACAATCCTTAAAACCAATATGAAAGCCGCCATGCTGTGGAAGATCCAACACCTGTTTTGTTTTTAAAGTTTCTTGTTTGACCTGAAATTTTCTCAAAAAAAAAAGGAGGGGGGCAGCACCTGTGGCTCAAAGGAGTAGGGCCCTGGCCCCATATGCCAGAGGTGGCAGGTTCAAACCCAGCCCCGGCCAAAAACTGCCAAAAAAAAAGGCATTATGCTATAATAGAAACTAAATTAAGGATTAGTGTAAAGTGAACATTTTTCAAATTATGTTCAGAGATTCTGCAGAGATGCTTGTGGAGTTTGATAAGCAAGATGACACAAATTTCATTTAAAATTTAAAAGCTACAATTAAAACACCTGTACTCAAGTATGTTACATACCTATTTGTAGTACTTGGGAGATACCAACTTTAACTGGTGTTAATATGTAAACTTTTTTTTTTTTTTTGAGACAGAGCCTCAAGCTGTCCCCCTGGGTAGAGTGCTGTGGCAACACAGCTCACAGCAACCTCTAACTCCTGGGCTCAAGTGAGTCTCCTGCCTCTGCCTCCCAAGTAGCTGGGACCACAGGCACCCGCCACAACGCCTGGCTATATTTTGGTTGCAGCCATCATTGTTTGGCAGGCCCAGGCTGGATTTGAATCCGCTGGCTCAGGTGTATGTGGCTGATGCCTTAGCCACTTGAGCCACAGGCGCCGAGCCAATATGTAAACTTTTTAATGTAGAACTGAGAATTAAGTTTCTCTTGCTATCTCTGTTTTATTAAAGAATATCCTAGGGCGCTGGCCCCATATGCCAGAGATGGCAGGTTCAAATCCAGCCCAGGCCAAATACTGCAGAAAAAAAAAAAAAGAATATCCTGGCTTGGTGTTTGTAGGGTGCCGGCCACATACACTGAGGCTGACAGGTTCGAGCCCAGCCTGGGCCTGCCAAATGACAATGACAACTGCAACTAAAAAATAGCTGGGCGTTGTGGTGGGTGTTGAGGCTGAGGCAAGAGAATCACTTAAGCCCAAGAGTTTGAAAGTTGCTGGGAGTTGTGATGCCATGGCACTCTAACCAGGGTGACATAGTGAGTGAGACTGTCTCAAAAAAAACATATACAGGCTCGGCGCCTGTGGCTCAAGCGGCTAAGGCGTCAGCCACATACACCTAAGGTGGTGGGTTCGAATCCAGCCTGGACCCGCCAAACAACAATAATGGCTGCAATCAAAAAATAGCCGGGCGTTGTGGCGGGCGCCTGTGGTCCCAGCTACTAGGGAGGCTGAGGCAGGAGACTCGCTTGAGCCCAAGAGTTGGAGGTTGCTG